TTTAAGGAGGCGTAGCACCCAACCACACCCCTAAACCCAACCGACATTGAGTAATAAGCAAATTATACTAAATTGTACGAATAAGCTTGTACGAATTCACACGAATACTGTGCCACTACATCAAAAATTTACAAATTGCCACGAGATTGTGTTCACATAACCCAAAAGAAACAACGCTAATCTAAAGTTGGCTTTCTATAGAACAAAAAAATTATTGATTTAATTTAATTTGACATTTTTATTATTCTGCAGTAATGTAAAATATAAGCCTACAAAAAAAATTATAATAAAACACGTAGAAAGTATTTTACTATTTTGTTAAAAACTATTTTTGTTCATGGCAAGACTGAGATTTGTATGGAATTGCTCAAATACTATTTAGGACGGATAATATGCGAATTGGGACACAACAACAAGAGACTTCTCTTAGTGAAATTTATTTATCCATTACAGGAATAATCCAGCCAAGACCAACACAAAAACCCACTCAGCTAAATGTTACGTTATTATAGTCACTGAAAAAAATATCATGCTATTCTGATATCATGTGTGGATTTAACCAATAGGCGAGGTAAACAGCTGCTTAGGGCCCCAGATAATCTGATGGCCCCCAAATAAATAAGTAGAATTACAGTTCTAAATAATATAAATAACATTGTTTTCTATTGTATTTTGAATGGTGAGGGTCTACAAGTTTTTAATTGAACGTAATTATTACATCTGCGCAAATGTGTCCACCCTCAATCATGGACCAGTCCAGCAGTCAAATCAGTAGAGATTTAGGGCTCAATAACACTATGCTATACGAACCGTGCCCAGGCATGTTTCCCGGATCAATTGAAAAGTGTCAGTGCTCTGAATCAGGCTCAGGCACAGTTTAGTTGGCCGACCCTGGTCTGGTTGGAAGGAGTGTGCCAGAGCTCGGTTCACTATGGCTCAGAAACTGAAGACGAGACATGACTTTTAAGGGACTGTTTCATATAGATTTATTAATCATTCTTACTGTTCAATGAACAAAAAAACTGTCGTAGTTTATTAAAGACGCAAACCCCTCACTGCACAACAGCTGCACCTTTAGCAAATTTAGCAATCACTGCAAAAAAAGCTTTTCTTGCCTAGATTTTTTGTCTTGTTTCTAGCCTATATATCTCACAATTCTTAAATCAAGAATTTTCTAGACAAGCAAAACATATTTTCTTGTTTTCAGCAATAATATACCAAAATTAAGTGAGTTTTTCCTTAAAACTAGCAAAATAATCTCGTTTTTCCTTTTGACATAAGATTATTTTGCTCACCCCATTGGCAGTTTATTTTGCTAGTTTTAAGGAAAAACTCACTTAATTTGGTATATTATTGCTGAAAACAAGAATATGTTTTTCTTGTCTAGAAAATTCTTCTTGATTTAAGAATTGTGAGATATATAGGCTAGAAACAAGACAAAAAAATCTAAGAAAAGTATTTTTTGCAGTGTATTTGGCGAAATATTTGACTGCGTGTCACTGCTTCCCAAACGATTAAACGATATAACTAAAGAAATCTCCACTGTGCTGAGTGAGAGCACTCAAGTGTGCCCAGGCCGAATGTAATGTAAGTGCGGGCCGTCTGGGGAGACGGGAGAGGGGACAAGTGTGCTTCGGCCCGGTTCAAGGCAACTGTGCATAGTGTGAGAACACCCTTAGTTTAAAAAACGAAATAGTTCATTTACTATTTTTAGTTGTGAATTCATTTTAATAAATAAATCAATTCAAACAAATCATTTTAAAAGTTTGACAAGATGCTTTACATGTTATTTTGCATTAAGATAATATGTAGAAAAGAAGACCGAGTGAAATAATAAAACAACTAAATAAATTCTTTAAATCATTTAAAGTACAAAAGGTGCATTTAAGAACTGTTGGGCCTCATAGCTGGAATTAAATCCGCCCCTGTCTGAGATAAAATGACTTCAAATACAAAGCTTCACATTTCAGCTTTTAGAACTCTAACTAAACTCTAGAAGATGTTTTTTGCGCATGATTTTTCTGAGATGAGTCTGATTTATTTTCTGTGGTGGCAAGTTGACAGAACTCAAGTTGTTTTTTTAGACCTGGAAAATTCCTTGAATAGCATTTATCAGGACCTGTAAAGAGGATGAATTTAAGAGTCAAAAATGTCGCATTGTTATAGTTGAACTGGTATTAAGACAAGTAAAAACAAATGGTTTGTATGTTCCACAGAGCACATGTACAAAAAAAAGAAAGAAGAAATATGTACTGTGTGAAATACTGTATGAGATACTGTCAAAGTTTGTGTAGAAACAAAGTTTGCATGTCCTGATATATGTAAATGTACTTGATTTAAAAAAAAAAAAAAACTGCATTGTTTTCTAGTGGACCAAATCAGCATCCATAACAAACACTGATTTTTATTTATTTTTCTTTCCGAGGTATTAAGAAGCACAATTTTTACAATGGGTATAATTTGAGTCCTTTGTCTTCGATTCCGTATGCAATACAAACATGGAAAGAAAACGCCTTAGAACATTAACACTTCCTCTTTTGTGTAAGTAGAGAAAAGGATATTGCACTATTTCTTTTGTTCTTTTTGATGTCTGCTTTGTAATGCAATAAATGCACTAGATGGAACAATAATTGCAATGAACATTAATTGGTCCTCAGGCGTGATGTAGGTAAACTCTTTCTCTCGCCCCTTCATCTTTCTGACAACATGAAAAATAAAGTCCTGCCTGATGCTGTACATGCTTTCTATTTAAAGAAAATGCCACTAGTTATACTAATAATAAAACAAACAAAAAAAAACATTTTATGTACTTTTGAAAACTCCAGTCGTGTCTCAGTTGTTTGATCATTACTCATATTTTATTGCTGTCTATTTGTTTTCTTTTTGGAAATATGCATACACTGCTGTATTGTCCTACACAGAAGTCAGTCATATCTGCATCTATAGGTGTTATTTGGTGCTCATCATTCGGAGAATAATAGGGTATATGCTGAAGCATGCTAATAGGACTTTTAATTTGCCAGTAAACTGGGTTAACCGCTTCTGTTATGTCAATGCAAAATCGGCACATTTAAGGTCTATTTTCTTTAAAAAAAAATCAGTGATCTCCACTGGCTGTGTGATATCCAATATAAAGTGGGTCTCAGATTGTACAAGAAGCACTGCATTAAATTGCATTTTCCCTGCCATGTCTTTATAATATGAGCATTTATTTTACTCCAGTATATTTAATAGAGCTTCTGCGCTTGCCTACCGATTCTGACGGGCGCGTGCGAGTGAATGGCTTTTTGTCTTGTTTTACGCTTAAGCAACTTATGAATGCCAGAGTCTATTTAATTGAATGTATTTTAATGACATTACAACATCGTTGCTGTAAAAGGAACCGTTTAAAATGGAAAAAAAAAAGCACAATAACAGGTCACTGAAAGTTTATCAGTATGGGAACAACACTAGCTCGGCATATACCCTATTATACAACCAAGTAAAAAAAAAAAAAATATATATATATATATATATATATATATATATATATATATATATATATATATATAATTTAAAAAGTAAAGTGTGTGTGTGTACAGCAGAATTATTAGCCCCCTGTTTATTTTTTCCCCCCAATTTCTGTTTAACGCAAATTTCTTTTTTCAACACATTTCTAAACATAATAGTTTTAATAACTCATTCCTAATAACTGATTTATTTTATCTTTGCCAAGAGGGCAGTGAATAATATTTACTACAAATTTTTCAAGACACTTCTATACAGCTCTAAGTGATTTTTAAAGTCTTAACTAGGTTAATTAGGTTAACTAGGCAGGTTAGGGTAATTAGGCAAGTTATTGTATAATGATGATTTGTTCTGTAGACTATCGAAAAACAAATATAGCTGAAGGGGGCTAATAATTTTGAGCTTAAATTTTTTTGAATTATTATTATTAAAACTGCTTTTATTCTGGCCAAAATAAAACAAACATTTCCAGAAGAAAACACGTTATCAGACATACTGTGAAAATTTCCTTGCTCTGAAACATCATTTGGAAAATATTTAAAAGAGAAAACAAGATTAAAAGGGGGCTAATAATTCTGACTTCAACTGTATATATTATTAAATTTTACACTCCTTTCATCTTAGGGACAATAACAAAATCAAATTTCCACTGATCTTTTGACATTAAAAATCCAGCAAACCTCAGCTTTAAAAGCCAAATGAAGAAAGAATGAAGTATTTATTTAATCAAAAATCTAAAAATGGTTCATCTGAATATATGACACGTGTTCTCTGAAGAGCACATTTATTTTTGACAAGTTATTAAAAAACAAAGTATAAAGCATTCCAAAAATTTAAATGTTTTTGCATGGTGTACAGTTTTATCAGCAGAAAAAAAAAAATAAATAAATAAAAATAAAAAAAAAAAAATATATATATATATATATATATATATATATATATATATATATATATATATATATATGTGCATGCTCCGGTTTCCCCCACAAGGCCAAAGACATGCGCTACAGGTAAACTGGGTAAGCTAAAATTGTCTGTAGTTTGTGTGTGAATGAGTGTACATGGATGTTTCCCAGTGATGGGCTGCAGCTGGAAGGGAAGTCAATAATGACTCAAGACACCGCAACTACACCCGCGCTTTGTTTTGAACAGGAAGCAGGCTTTGCGGGCATCCGGTTTATCAGTGCAGTTCTCCCGTGGACGCGCAAAGTTGAACCACTTATGACATGATGGATTGTGTTTCCTCTCTGGACTATTTTGGCTGCCTCATGTTGTGTTTGTTTGATTGCTTGTATTGTTGCCACGGACAACCAATTTTGGCGCTATTAGCTTTGTTGCTTCTAGCATTTATTGTTTCAAATTAATTTCATCTTGAATTTAATTATTTTTTATTATTATCTTCTTTCCCACCAAACATTTTACCTGACCCAATTAAAATTAGCCACCCTGCTGTCAACAGGACACTGAAAAATAAACACCAAACTCCACATAAGTCAGTCTAAGGACTTTATTAATAATCCATACCGAATGAACATTTTTACTCATCCTCTGACTGAAATGCAGTATCTACAGATGCATTCTTGAATTGGTATTGGTTTTACACAATTTAAAAATCACAAACATTATATCTCCTGTGTAAAAAAAAAAAAGAAAAGAGATGGGCTGTTCTACAGTTTAACATTTGACTATCTGTCCATCTTAACAAAACCAAGGGATTGATTTCTCTCTACTACAGTTTTATCACAGACATCTACATCTTGGGGTTGCACCATAAAGCCGGAATAACTGGCAAGCCAATTAAGTTTCAGTTTAGTTTGCACCAATTCTGGGTTTATGGTAGCTCATCTCATATCAGCTGCTCCATAATAACACGTCAACAAAATGACTGAAGTCAAGCTGCCTTCACGTTGCCTAAAACTCAAAATTGGTGCAAACTTAATACATTTAACTGGATAGCCAGCTAATCCATGGAACAGGCCCCTGGTTTATCTGTCAAGAAAAGTGTAATGTACGATCTCATGGTTTACTGTTTTTTTCTGATAAACTTGGATATAGAAAATCTGGAGCAGTAAAACAGCACAAATGTCACAACATGTACAAATGAAAACAAGTAATGTGTGTAAATAACGCGGATCAAGCAAAGATGGTCTCCTCTCTCCTCTTCTTGGTGAGGATGGTGCCAGGCTTGTGCTGAGCATCTGGGTGATTTGCCAGCTCTGGCGGGCAGGTGGACACTGGGCTCTCTAAGATGGCCTGTTTCAGGTCGTAGAACACAGACGAGTCCTCTTTGGTCAGGAAGGTCATCGCCACACCACTCTTTCCAGCACGACCCGTTCGGCCAATACGATGGATATAGTCTGGAGAAAAGAGTTCAAGTTACCGATTCATCTATAGAGTAAGAATGAGTGAAGGAAAGCCTTTAGGAACACTGCACTTTTTAAAACTCCCCTAGAGTTGAATTGTTACCATTTTTTAATTCATTCAGCCAATCTCCGGGTCTGGTAAGAGCAGTTTTAGCTTAGCTTAGCATAGATCATTGAATCTGATTAGATCTTTAGCATCTCACTCAAAAATGACCAAAGAGTTTTGATTATTTCCTATTTAAAGCTGAACTCTTCTGTAGTTACATCGCATACTAAGTTGTTGCTGTTTTCTAGGCCGATATGGCTAGGAAGTTCCTAGTAGGAACTATACTCTCATTCTGGAAAAATCATGGAATTTTGACATGGCATTTTCCACGTCTGGAAAGTTTTAAAAAAACAGAAAAACCCATAAAGTTTTGGGAAAATCATGGAAAGGACATTGACATTCAGTCATTTAGCAGACATTTTTGTCCATAGCTACAACACTAGTGCTTGCAAAATTATTTTGTACGGCGCTGCAAAAAAGGGCCGGGGTTAAACAATATGATTAGAGATAAATAAAAGTGAGCGATTGCTCCATATTTTAAATTTCTTATTTTAAATTATCTTTTATCGAACTAACGCAATCACATGATGCGATTTCACAAGTAAGAATTCACCAAGCTTGAACTTTCGAATGCAGTGACATGTGAAACTTGTCGCACGGGCTTGCGTTTCTGGTCTGCCACATTCGCATGCCTATGAAAGGAAGTCTATGGATCGAAAAGTGCAGTGTGATCGCGGCTTTTCAGTAGTAGTAGTTTTATCCAACTATTACTAGTTTAACAAACTATTAAGATTATCTAAAATTAGTCTGAAAAATATCTGTATGTTGGAATGGAGGGTAGTTGTTTTTACTTCTTTTCTTTTCTTGTTCTCATTAATGCTGTTTAAGCATCTATTTTATATAGATATAAGAATAAATGTAAACTTTTATGATATGCTGTAATAAATTTAAACATTTCTTATTATTTACCGAGTATATGTAGACATTACATGAACATTAGATCATGAAAATTGACTTGAAAGTTCTGGAAAAGTCATGGAATTTTTATAGTAAAAATGTGTATGAACCCTGTGCGTTGAAAGGGGCCTTTTTTAAATGGTTTGCTAACGCCTATGAGTGTTTTACGTGCTGTTTATGCACCTTGCGCGCCTTGCGTTTTAACTGCTTTCTGCGCATCGCGTTTTTGCAGTTGCACACTGTGCGCTCGCAGTTGAAAAAAAGTCAACTCTGAGTGAAAAAAAGCGTGACGTCACTTTTCATCCTCTAATCAAATAAAAGCAGAGGCGGGGTTTCCGTTGAGGTGACTGCAGTGTTTGTGTTGTCAAGACGACTACAGAGATTTTTGAAGATGAAGGAGAGACTAGTGGTTGCTGTTTTGAGTTGTCCAGTGGTGTCTGACTAACAAATTTTGAATATCACAATATTAATAAATATTAAAGTTATACCAATATTAACAGCAACACTCGTGCACTATACCCAGCTTAAAAGGTACACCACGCTTCTTTTTTTTTTTTTCAACAAAAAAGGCAGTGTGGTGCGCCTTGCGTTTTTAGAACGGAAAATCACGTTCAGTGTGATTGGCCCCTTATACTTCTATTTCAGGCGTATGCATATGGTTTGACGCAGCCTTTGCGCAGTTGCATAGCTCTTGCCATGTCTGGGCTCTCGAAAAATGTGACTACACGTCGCAACGACGCGTAGCGCAAGCTCTTTGATTGGTCGGTTTAGCGGTGATGAGTGTGGCCGGTGCTGAGAGCCGCAAGCCCGTTGGAGCGAGCGTTTACAAACGCCGAGTCCCGTGGAAGAGCTCCAGATGCAAACTTTTCTTTTCTGTTTAATTTACAATTAAAGTTGTTGCACTTCTGTTGGTTCCTGCCTCTAAATGAGCAAGTTTTAACTACTTGTAGCGTTCAGAAAAAACAAAACACCTGTGAAGAAACTCGACACAGAGGAACATAAAAACCTACTGCCAGCTAGCGTTTCAGAAGTGTTGTTGCAAAGCAACACAAACAGCACGCAAAGGTATGAATGCATGACTACGCACAAGCCAGGTGCCATGAGTCCAGTTAGCATAGCTTTGTTTAGTTGCACCAGTTCTTTGCGTGCAACAGAAACGCGATGTTGTGAAGCTTTTACAATTAATTAACTGAGACGAATTAAAGCACTGTTAGTAGTGAAATCAGTTAATCGTTGCATCCCTAATCCTGAACCGTAGCTATTTGAACTGGAATATGGAAGTTAGTTAATTTTCAGGCAGTGCTTAATATCATTGCATCTGCTGCAAAGTTTCCTTAGTACTACATTAGAATGACAGTATAGTTTTCAACTTTTTTTTTTTAAACAAAGAAAAATTATATTTTCATAATTATCAAAATTTCATCATTAACCCCAGTTTAAAATATGGATGAAAAGTTCTGTTTAATGCTTAAAATAGAAAAAAGAGGATATTGCGCTTTATTTATTTCACATGCAAGACCATTGTCAATAACAGAATCCAATGAAGAGCAAAAAAATAAATAAACAAAAACTAAATTAATGAAATGGATAATATACTTGATGTGTCCAATAAAAACCAACAAGAGTCATACAAACGTTTCAGTCATGTAGGACCTTCCTCATTGTTCACATTCAATTGAAACAGTTAAAAAAAATATTGCAATAATTACCATTATCATAGCATCACCCAGTCCTACGGTCAAATTGATGAGAAAATATGACCACGAGTTCTGCTTTATGAAAAAAGTGGCAGAGATGATGTTAAACTCACCCTCGATGTTCTTGGCCATGTCGTAGTTTAAGACCATCGAGACGTCCTGAATGTCGATTCCTCTGCCTGCCACATCTGTGGCCACCAGGATGTCTTTGGCTCCGGCCTTCAGGTTGGAAAGAGCGAACTCTCTCTGTTCCTGACCTTTACCACCGTGAAGTGTGCAAGCATTGTACTGCAGAAGAGGGGAAAAAAGAAAGATTGAGTCACTGATTAATTACCAGCAGGTCAGTATGTCATAAAATCTCTTTTAAAAAAGTTGTATTTTATTTAGTAATGCTTCACGATCTACGTTGAGCTATAACAGGCAGATGTCCATTTTCTTCCTGAATTTGCAGCTCTCATAGATTTGCTTACCAAGTCTGTCTAAATATGGCTGTTTGCTATTATTATGTACATCTTTAATATCAAAATCAGATTGGTTGGCTTTTTAAACATTATGCGCCTAGGAAGATAGCATTTTTTGCCATCTTGACATAAAAAAAATGCTGCTATGGTGTCCCAAAAAACTGCCTAGGTAGCGGTAAGCTCTGTTTCCAGATCATGGGTCCCACCCCTTCATCACCAATAAGCATTTCGAAGCCACGGTTTACAGTAAGTTTATAACATCTAAGGAATGTTGTTGGGCATGTTGTGAAGCAGAGTGCCTAAAACTGCCAAGCTGTTACACATTCAATGTAAACCATGTCTTCATTTCACAATTATACATTCAAATTCAACATTCATTTCAACAATTACAGCTCTATGTGTGTAAAGTATGTTACAGCAACTTCAATTGCAGCTCCACCAATCAGAATCAAGAAGCAAAACAACAAATTTTAAGAATTTACTCCTGTAAAGCATTACAGACAGCACTTAACACAGTGTACTCACTCCCATCTTCTCCAGAGATTTAGCAAGCACATCGCAACCCTTCTTTTGGTTAACGAAGATGATGATGGGCGGCTCGAAGCCACTTGCCAAAACTTCCAGAAGCTTCTTCCTGTTCGCCACAAGAAAACATTTGTCAATTAAAAACTGAAGAACATTTTTTGGACAAAGTGCGCTTGAATAAAAACTACTCATTTCGACAAATGATGGGTTAACGTGTTCTGACCTCTTTTCACCCTCGGACATGAGGATGACCTTCTGCTCCACCCTCTCGTGGGGTTTGCCTGCAGAGCCGATGTACACCACCGCCGGCCGACGGAGGTAACTTCTGGCCAGACGCTCCACTGCAGGAGGCATAGTAGCCGTAAACATGACCGTCTGAAACACAAGAGATATAATATGATACAATCTCATGCAATACAAAGACATTTAGGAAAATGAAACATAAAAGAAAGCAACAGAAAGGACGCTTGCGAATTTATTACACTTAGTAGACAATTTATTTTAATCAAAATTTCTAATTAGCCAATCAAATAGCAGCAACTCAATGCATTTAGCCATGTAGACGTGGTCAAGATGATCTGCTCAAGCATCGGAACTTGGAATAAATAGGAGTTGAGTGACTTTGAACTAGGGAATTTTTACAATTTCTGCAATAAACATTGATATTTTATTACGGTTTCTCAAGATAGTTTAATAGCTCTATTTGATGGACCTCAGGGGAGTCGTTACAGTATTTAGGTAGAGAAATTAAATAAACACAATGCAAAAAAAGCTTTTCTTACTTTGCTTTGTCTCGTTTTCAGTCCAAATATCTAAAGAATTATTTACATATTTAAAATAGTAAAAGTATTTTTTTGTTTTCAACTTCGGGAGAAAGAAGTTTACATTAAATTACACTGACTTTTTCCCTAAATAAGTAAAATTATTCTGTTTTTGATGACAAAAAGATTATCATAAATCATAAAAACTCTATATAAATACAGTAATTATGTAAGGTCTATCCTGTCTTATATCAACGGTTCAGGTTGCTGGTGGTGGTGTAATAGTGTGGGGGATATTTTCTTGGCACAGTTTTGGCCCATTAGTACCAATTGAGTATAGTGTAAACGCCTCCGCCTACCTCAGAATATTGTTGCTGACCATGCCCATCCCTTTAAGAACATAGTGTCTAGCTAATTTCTTGGCACACTTTGGGCACATTAGTACATATTGAGTATCGTGTCAATGTCACAGCACGAGTATTGTTGCTAACCATATCCATCCCTTTATGATCACAGTGTACCAATCTTCTGATGGCTAGTTCCAGCAAGATATCACACCATGTCATAAAGCGCAAATCATCTCAAACTGGCTTCTTGAACATGAAAATGAGTTTAGTGTACTCAAATGGCCTCCACAGTCACCAGAACTCAATCAAATTGAGCACCTTTGGGATGTGGTGGAACACGAGATTCACTTCATGCATGTGCAGCCGACAAATCTGCAGCAATACGTGATGCTATCATGTCAATATGGACCAAAATCTCTGATATTATAAGAATATTTTCAGTGTCTTTGTCACAAAGGATTAAGTGAGTTATGAAGGCTAAAAGGGCGTCTAATACCGGTACTAGTAAGGTGTACCTAACAAGTGGCCCATTTTTAGCATAGCATGGTTGTTGGTCTAAGCATTTAAATAAAACCTGCTGATCCACTGAGATTTGTGCGTAACCATCTTTAAAGTTTACAAAGAATTGTTTTTAAAAACAGTAAATATCCAGCTATGGGCAGTGAAAATGGCTTGTTGATGTCAGGAGTAAGAGAATAATCACACAACTCTAATCCATGTAAAAGTAAGGTATTTCTAAAGCTAAATGGGGTTCCAAGAGCATTCAAGCAAGTTGTACCCGTTAAAGTGGCCAGTGAGCGTATATTAAAGTGAGCAACACGAGTTTAAAGGTCCCATGAAAATAAAATAACGCTTATTAGATGTTAACATCAGTATTATTAAGTTTTAAGATATAATAAGCTAGTGGGCTCCAAGACAGTGACAAACGTCGAATAAAAATGCACTTTATGGGACCTTTAAAGTTAGATATGACCTTATTTAAACCACAATGGCTGAGTTATCGGTTACCTGTCTGTATTTGTGTTTGCCGGACTCAAAGTTCTGCATCATCTTTTCAGGGTCCTCTGCGTCATCTGTGTCTGGTTTCTGATTGGTCACAGGAATGTACTCCAGAATCTTCTGGACGTCGGGTTCGAAGCCCATGTCAATCATTCTGTCGGCTTCATCCAGTACCACATATGTGCATCTGCTCAGGACGAGGTATCGGTTCTCCAACACGTCGATCAAACGACCAGGTGTTGCTATGACAATCTGGGAGCGAGGAAGAAAAACATCAGATCTACAGCTGCAATTCAGTTCCATTTTTGTTTTAGAATACTTTCTAAATGTATTTACAATTTTAGTTTTTAATTCAAAGATTTATTACTTTTGTATATGTCAGTTTTGTGTTAAAGACAAAAAGTGTAGCATAGCTTTAACCTTGTTCCTATATATTATAATGTGTCCTGTTTTATTAATAAAAAATGTATGATTATCAAGAAATTACAAAATAATGTTCGAATTTGACCATGATTTACAAAACACAGCAACTAAAATCGCATTCAGTGTAATATGTAGTATATACTGCAAGCAATTTGTCAAGCATTTCTAGAACAATCATTTAATCATTAAATCACCACCTTTTAAAATACTCTGAGAATAACTGTTTGGCCCCAAAATACTAATTAATTGTAATTTCTTAATATTTTTATACAACCATTCTTCTTTAAACCACTGCATTTGAGCCAATTTAATCAATAAGTTCATAATATTTTAAAATACATTTAATATCTGTATAAAAACAAATACAGACCAGAAAAAGTGTTTAATTTTTATATGGATATATCCTTTATGCTGTACATTGTGTTGGGAAACATTATTTCACCCAAATTTTGATATTTTATTTTCCCAAAAGCTATTTAAAACATTAAAGTAGACATGTGTATATAAATGAACTTTAGTGAATTAAAGAAACAGAAAATATTTTATTAGATATTGTTCTTTTTATAAAGGCTTTGATTCAATTTAGTTTTAAGTTATTTTAGCGGAGCAAATTAAGCGAAATGAAAATAACTTTTACTTGTAAACTAGCTCAAACAAGTTTTTAATAATAAGTGTTATATTTTATTTCGTTTTATTGTTTTAGTTAACTACAATAACCCTGACAACAGCACAAAAACTATTATGAAATGAATTATCACTAAGTAACCAATAGCAATATATAAATGAAATGGTTGATGAGATTTCACTCTCACCTCACAACCCATCCTAAGTCTGAAGCCCTGATCCTCTCTGGATATTCCACCGATCACAGCTACAGTTCGGATGCCTAGCGGTTTGCCGAATTTAATAGTCTCCTCCTCGATCTGCTGCGCCAGCTCACGAGTCGGAGCCAGAATAATGGCGTATGGTCCCTGATCAGAGTCCTCAATCCTACAGTAACAAATCCAATCGTTTTTATTAGTGATCTGATTCCACAAAACCATAAAAGTGTGAGAGAGAAAAGCCAGTTCTTGCCTGTCAATCTTGGGTAGAGTGGTGATCCAGACCAGTAAGGGAATGAGGAAGGCGGCGGTTTTACCGCTACCAGTCTCAGCCACACCGATGATGTCACGGTTCTGTAAACCAATAGGAATGGCCTGCCTCTGGATGGGTGTGGGATCCTGGAAAAACATGTAAAAAACATTTACAGTTGAGGGCAAAATTATTAGCCATCTTTTGAAATATTTATTCTTTTTCGAATATATCTCAAAGGATATTTCATGGAGCAAGGAAATTTCCACAGTAATTTGGATAATATTTGTTTCTTTTGGATAGTCTTATTTGTTTTATTTTTTTTATTTTTAGCCCCCTTATGACTTATTAGTTTTCAATTCTCAACAGAACAAACCATCGTTATATAATGATTTTCCGAATTACCCTCACTTGCCTAGTTAACCTGATTAACAGGGCTTCTGCAGGTTTCACCAAGTTACTTTTAAGACTTTAAGACATTAAGACCATTAATGAAATTTTAGACTTAAGAAGGAGTTTATCGAATGGCCCAGATGGAAAATTATTTTATTTGCCCTATATTTTTTATATACATTTATAGATATTTATGTAATTTAATACATTTAATAATACAATAATAATTTATTAATGAAAAGTTTTATAATTTTACATATTTTTTAGCAAAATATTTTAAATATTATGTCAAAACAAGCAAGCTCTAGTTGCAAACAAACTTTTTACAACATAAACTTTCTTTAAAATAATAAAAAAAAGACTGTTTTAATAACAATAACAATGTTTTAATAACAATAATAAATTAAATGTATGCACAACAGTCTGCCTGGGTCAGTGTCCTCAGCAGTAAATATACGAGGAACTTTTAAACTTTTAAACAAATGTAATTTTAAGGATAATAATTAAACTATTATGGCAAATAGAGTAAAAAATTACAATCTTAAACAAAAGTTCAAAGTTTTATTGAGATGGATTGTTTGTGATTGTATAGATGTTGGCCAGATTAGTTATAAAATTAAGACTTGTTAAAAAGAGAGATTTAAGACCTAAAAACAATATTTTGGTATATTTAAAACTTTTTAGGACCTAAAATTCTGTTTTTGAAATGTAAGACATTTTAAGACTTTTTAAGACCCCCAAGATACCATGTAGTTAAGCCTTTAAATCTCACTTTAAGCTGACTAGCTGACATGATACTAGTATCATGCAAAATATCTAGTAAAATATAATTTACTGTCATCTGGGCAAAGATAAAATAAATCAATTATTGGAAACGAGTTATTAAAACTATTATGTTTAGAAATGTGTGGGGAAAAAACGGCTCTCCCTTAAAAAGAAATTGGGGAAAAAATATACAGGAGCTAATAATTCAAGAGGGCAAATAATTCTGACTTCAACTGCATATATAAGTGTAGAGCCCATTCAGTATGGAAATAGCACCAGCAGCAATCGCAAAGGTCTACATAGGATTGTGCAAACTGCTGGACGCGTAGTAGGAGGTGAGCTTCCCTCCCTCCACGACATCTACACCAGGTGGTGAATGAGGAAAGCCAAGAGAATTATCAGCAACTCCAGCCACACAAGCCATTGACTTTTCACTCTGCTACCTTCAGGCAGACGGTTCCGCAGCATCTGATCACGCACTAGCCAGCTGAAGGAAAGTTTCTTCCCTCAGACTATCAGGCTGATGAACACTTAACACACCCAACACAAACTCTTCCATACCCCTCACTGCACACCATTAATATGTAGCATGCACTGCACTATAACCAATCCATACTTGAAACAGTACTGCCTACAACAACTATTTGGACACCTATTCATTGCACATATCGCTGTTCTGTTTTTTTTTTTTTTTTGGGAGTATGCTGTTATATTTTGCACTGTCGTTGTATTTGCACTATCTGTATTTTTTACTGTCTGGAGCCAGCACCTAAGCTTTCACTCATCATAGCACACATGCTGCTGATGATGTCACAATAAAAGTGATTTGATTTGATTTGATATTTTAGACCAAGTGAATGAATGACAGACCTTATATCCACACTTTTCGATGACCTCCAGAATGTGTGGGGGCAGTGAATACTCCTTCCAGTTGCGGATAGGGTTGGGGATCTTCCCTCCTTTGGTTGTGATGCTGTAATCCTCTCTGAAGATTCTCCAGTCTCTGTCGGTCATCTCATCCAGCTTCTTCTGAGACCAGTGCCGGTCGTCCCAGCGCTGCTTGGCCTCCTTCTTTCTCACCTTCTTCAACCTCTGTCTGTGAAAATCAACAAATAACTTCATTACTGCATCTGCCAATTGAGAACTCAAATTACTCTTGATCTTTTGACGGATAAGAGAACGTTGCACTATAAATTATCCTGCAACATACACAACTTTGTTATTCCAATAGTTCTCAATATGACGATGGGAAAAACTCCACAAATTCTACACCATTGCCCCTTTAGCTTCTGTTCATCAATAGTTTCCATTAAAGGATGTACAAAACTGGAATATTGCATAAAACATTTGTGAATAAAGCACAGTTTCCATGAGAGCTGCACGATTCTGGCTAAAATGAGAATCGCAATTTTTTTTGCCTATAATAAAGATGACGATTTTCTCACGATTCTGTAGATGCAAAATAAAGGTTAACATGAGTGGGCTATTATTGTTATTCTTAAACATGTAGTTAAACAGCAATAGGCTTTGTGTAGCTGTACTGTTGGTTAAAATGCTAAATTTTGTATAGACTTGAACAGACTTTAGATTTGTCCTGGTCATGCTGATGATAAGTCTGATGTTGAATTATTGTGTATGAGACATATGGAATCTGTAATTTCCTGCTTAAAATCTCTCACTGACATGATTTTCGTGAATACAGAAGCCTGGGGCGGTGTTTTTGCATTTCGGCAGGTTTTGGATACTTTTTGGGCTGGAATCAGCCAGCTACATCTTTCAATACTGTGTTCGCTTTCGGTTTCATTTTCACTGCTAAGAGCGGTTCACTTCCCATGTTGCTCCCAAACGATCACTCTGTGCCACAAACTGAATGTTATTTACAACTTTATTAACTGTAATTTACAGCTTATGCAGGTTCTGTTTACTAAAGTAGACTTCATTCAGAGGCCCGAACACGCACCCCCGGAGTCACTGTGGTAACAGCTGACGGTCAGCTCACATCACTTCTGATTTTGCGGTCGCAAATACATTACATGAAGACAGAAATTACATTTTTGGGATGAATTATATCTTATTAATACAGCATGTGACTCTTTCAACACCATTTGGAGGTGTCCACATTGCTGAACAACGTATGGTAAAACAATGTGAAGACTTTTGCTGCCACCGTTGCTTCTCTCCGGAACTTGTAAATATGATTGAAAGAATTGTAGAAGTGCTGGATTAAGATCGTCTAGGGCAGGGGTTCTTAACTGGTTTGGCCATGGGACCCACATTTTTACATGGTCATCAAGCCGCGACCCAAATTTTTAGGAACTATAATATAAGTTAAGGAATTTTCATTCATTTGTATTTATTTGTTAACAAACAAAAGTAGTGACAAAAAAATCAAGACATTCACAGAGACTTACAAATAAACACTATTTTACAGCTGTCATTTAACAAAATGGATCAAATTATAAAAATATTATATATATACTGTAAACAGTGATTAGGAAATGTTCACTTACTATGAACTAAACTGAACTGTTAATGAAACATGTTTTCTGGTTTCTAAATGTTGTTTTAATTTAGAAGGTTTCATGCTCTCTTTTGAGAGCACCTCACTACATATGACACTGAGGCTTTAGGTCTTTTTTTCGTCAATATATGTAAATCCATACTTTGCATATTCAGGGTGGTACTTGCGCTATGACATATTTGTTGCTGTAATGAAATTAAATTTCAGATGTCAAACATCATGGTTGTCGCGCACGAATTTCGAAATAAAAGTCTGGTACAAGCCAAATAAGTAAAAAATTAAACTTTGTTGGTTTTTTTGACCACACACTCCGTGACCCACAGAAAATGTTCCAGCGACCCACCAGTTGAGAAACACTGGTCTAGGGGGTAGAATCGAGATCGTGATCTTTTTACGATTAATTGTGCAGCTCTAGTTTCCATTCAAAAATTCAACTAATTTGTCACTTCCTGATAAACTGGCATCAAACATTAAAAGGATTTGCTGGTTAGGAGAAGTCACTGTGGGTCTTTAATACCTCAGAAGATGAAATGTAATTAAGTGCGTTGACTTCTGGAGGTCTGAGATGCTCTTTGGGATTGCAATACAGTTCCGGGAGGTAATACAACCACTTTGACGACAGACTTTGGCAGATGGAATTTAGAAAGACCGCACCAACATGTCAGATTACAATGTGGACAGTCCGCTGGTTTGTTCATTAATGAAATAACTGATCTGTTTACTGATAAACATGCTGGAATTTATTCGGCAAATGTATTTTCATTTAAGTTTATGCACGTTTTTGTTCATCAAATTAAAAAGTTTATCCTACTCTATTGTGTGCATAAGTGTTTTCATCCTCATTTTTTTTTTTACAATTATGCACATCCAGGTATTTCCAACAAGCATTTTTCAGGAGTTAACACTTAGCTATTGCTGGATTCAATTTGGAGATTTGGCATGCTGTCACAGGAGAGAACCCTGAGCTTGGAGATGCTTGGAGATACTTGAGCCCAGGGCTCCCGCCTGGTCATGTAGCATGACAGGGCGTGCAAGATCAGGTAGGTCTCAAGAGCTCACCTTGGTAAAGGAGGAAGGGTGGAGATGGGGGGATTCTTCAAAAAGAATATAAGGAAGGTAGGACGAATAGGTTTATTTATTGGAGGCTAGAATGCAACTGATTGGTCTAGCAATGACTTCTGATTGGACTAGCAATTATTATAGATGCAAAACCAGCTGTTCATAAAACTTCATTTATTTGCTCATATTCCAAAACTGTTTGGCTATTTGTTGTCTATTAAATAAAAATAGCTGCACACTGCTTTGTTTGTCTTTTCATAAAGACTTAAAGGTCAGTTGAAATTTAAAAGGTTTTTTTAGATATTAGTTTCAGTATTGTTCGTTTTTAGAATATCAACAAGCTAGTGCATACATTAAAACAGTGACAAAATTCAAGTTTAGAAGATATAGAATAGATATAAACATGTAAACTTGTAGTTTGTCACTTCCATTTAAATGGGTCAGCGTTTTTATTCACGTCACATCATACTTCAGTTTCTCATCAAATCTTAATCAATCAAATGCTTTCTAATATCTGACATGCCCCACCCCCTTCAAGATGCTTCACATTTGTTGCGTTTGAGCTCAGCCACTTTCACAGGCAGATCAGTGATAAAACAAAAAGAGGAGGAACTACACTATGTCCCACCCTCTCTTGATATTTCATTGAGACATTTCAAATCACTTCAGGTGACCTTAAAACAGGGTTTATTCAGGTTACAAGTCAAATTTAAGACTTTTAAGACAACTATTAATTATTTTAATGATCTAGGCGCAAAGTCTGAAGCTCAAGGCACAAAAGCATTAAGGGCATATCTGAATCCACTTTTGATATTTTAAGGACAAAAAAATATGCTTTGCACCGGTCTACAGGGTTGAGTTTATTCTCTTAATGAGTTATGGGTGTGTTTTGAGAATAAACCAATTAGAGTCTCATCTCTCATTCTCTTTAAGAGTCAGTTGCGTTGCGCCATGGCGCATTTGCCGTGTACATGGCGGACTTTGTAAGTGGAAAAAACTGAACGCTTCACAAGCGAGAAAACAGTTAAACAGACCATCTGCAGCGCAAGAATGAGCCTCCTCCAATCGGCCTTTACTTTCACTTTCTGTCTTTTGTGGAAAAGCGCAAAGATTTGTTTCAAAACTATTTGGAAATTCTGTTCTAATTTCCAGCCAACGAATAAATGAACAATAATAACGAAGTGAGGTGAAAAAAACAAAAACACACATGCTATGCCCAACATGATCGAAAACCTAACAGCTGGACAAATCTAAGCTCATTTTTAATAAAACAAATCTAAATATGACTATAATGAATACCACTAAATTGTCATAAATAAACTAAAAAAGCCCCCCTGAGATGATTAAGTCATGAAGGCAGTGGTTTTTATATTTATGTAGAAAGTAATTTTTTTATATATATTTTAATCTTTTCATGCTTTTTTATTTGTAAAGATATTTGCATATTGACATTTTGCATGTTTTAAGTAATGTGTAAGCGAGGCGCACAACTCATGCGCTTTAAGCTGCTTTCAGCTGGTCTATTGAACAGTCTATTTTAGCTCCTCAAAATAGCAACGTGCCAACAATGCGCCTTAACACACCTCTTTGTGGCGAAAATGGATTTATTATTTAAACAACATGACAATAATTGGAAAAATTAGGGTTGCATTGGTCTGAAAATAGCAACACAACGTGGAAACATGTCTTGCATCTTATTTCGTTGGGTGTGTGATAGGGCCGTTAGACTTTACAGAGTTAAAGACTAAGGATTTTTTTCTAATGGCCTGGTATGATCATGTATAATAGTTAAATTTTTTTTTCCCTGATAAGGGAATTTAATTTTGGGAATTTGCTGTAAAATGTCTAACCGCTGCTGTCAATTGTATATCTTTGCAAAAAAAAATAAATAAATAAAAACTTTAATATAAAAAAATAAGGTTTTATTGAAATGTATTGTTGGCCATTGGATGGATGTCGGCCAGATTGAGTAACTTTATTTGGACAAAGCAAAATTAAGACTCGTTTAAAATGATTTAATACCAACAACACAAGATTTTAGTGAACTTATAACTTTTTAAAGCCTACAATTTAGTTTTTGAAATTTAAGAAATTTTTTAAGACCCAGAGGACACCCTGTTTGAAATAAGAGATGATGCAATGCAGTACCACAATTCAGCAAAACAGCAGCCTATAATTTTTTACTTTCACTATTGTTTTGTGTGTTGCACGTTGCTTATTATGAGTTCCCATGAAGTGTGTGAGTGTCTTACTCCTCTTGCTCCTTCTCTTCATTAGTCCTCCTCTTCTCCATCAGGTCTCCATAGAATCGAGACTGATCTCTCTTTTGCTGCTTGAGATCGATGCCAGCGATGAAGCCTCGTCCGTACAGATGAACCTGATGCTTTTCTTTATAGCTAAACACATAAACAGAGTCAAACCTGTTTCATCACCTGATACACTACATAAATATGTACTCACTAAAGCAACTAAGGCAGTGAAGATCAATTGCAATGTAGATAAAACGATACTAAATAATCAAATAAATTCAAGCAGTTATTTATGGCATCTGAAAAGAAGCTCACATTGGATTGTAGTCGATTGATGTGTCTTCAGACGCATCCCACTCAAAGACAAACTTCCTGTCGTTGAGATGGCGTGTACGCCGCCGCTTCTTCATCCCACCAAGATAACGCTCCTAAAGAGAAAACAATTAATACCGATTCACCACTCAAAGACATATTACCACCTAAAGCACTTCAATGCACAGCAGAAAAAAATAGTCTGACAGCAGGATTAATTTGAAAATGATTTTCAAAAATGTTATTGAGGCCCACTCTAACTCCCAAACAGATATTTAGTAATAATTTGCTCAAATTTTAATAATGCCTTAACGCTTTTTCTACCTGACACATTTTGCTGATTGCCTATCATTGTGACTCGACATCTACATATGTAACTGTCAATGCTAACATTTTTTTAAATTTTGGCTTTGCTCCAAACTTTTTTCAATGCTGAAAAAGGCACACTTCATATGAATTTGTTTGTTTACCTGTTCAGCATCATGTGATACATTTGCTAAATCATTTGCATATCATATTAACATGCTTATATCCAGGAAAATTGCATTTTTGCTTTTCTGCTATTACTCAACTAATTGCTCTTATAAATATTAGCAAAAACTCATACAGCGATACAATTTGCTGTTGAATCGGAATTCCAGGTGCATCATTCTAACTGCATCCTAATAGATTTCATCACAGTTTTTTCTTGCAGATTACGTGACATGCTTGATAATGTCAGCTTACCTATTATTGATACAACAATTATATCATAGATAGTTAATTTTCATAGCTCTAATTTCTACATACCCACTATGCTTACTGATAAATGAAAAGTCTAGTTCTAAATAATAGTATATTTAAAAGATTAGTTTCAGCTATGATTAATTGAAAGCATGTGAAATTACCACATATACTAACTTGTTTTACTCCACTCACTTCAAAACTTCATTTAAGTGTTTAAAATAAATCCTTCTGTGAGATCATTCCATATTTGTCCATGATTTTTAGTCACATTGAATCATTAAAAGCTGTTTATACCGCAACCTAAGGGAATTTCAGAGATTCCTTCTTCATTGGTGTTAAAGGTTTCTGCACAAGAGCGTCCTCTTGTATTCTGAGAAGATTTACTACTAATCACACAACTGTTTTTCCCTGACAAGATGTGCGCAAAGATCTCAGCTTTCGATTAATTATATTTGCGATTTCATTCTGATTTATCATGCAGCCCTAGATGATCTAAATCTGTTGCTCCCAACCTACCAGGGATGACCAAAGATTTATGAGGGGTCATTCATAGTTTGATTTTTTACAAGTACAAATAAAACAAATACCAGTTTGATGATTAAAAACTAATTCTTGACAGTTCATTTTATCATTTTAAAAATCTTTAAATATCAGGATTCAAACAAATTTTTACTACAAAATTTACATGATTTTTCCAGGACTTTCAAGTCAAATTTCATGACCTAATGTATCATGTAATGTCTACGCATACGTGGTAAATCATAAGAAAAGCAATGAAGGTTTACATTTATTACAGCATATCATAAAACACACAACAATCTCTTTAGTTTCAATTTATTTTTTATATCTACGTAAAATAGATGATGCTTACACAGCACTAATTATGTGAGACCATGTTTTTGGCAAAGAAAGGAGTAAAAAAAACAACAACCTCCATTTCAGTATACAGATATTTGTCAAACAAATTTTAGATGATGTTAATAGTTTGTTAAGCTAGTAATAGTAGGTAAAATTACTTCTATTCTAAAGCCGCGATTACACTGCAGTTTTCGCTCCACAGATTTCTATTCACAGGCAAGCAAATGCGGCAGACCAAAAACGCTAGCACGTGCGACAAGTTTCACATTTTACTGCATTCGAAAGTTCAAGCTT